ACAAAACGTGTAACAGGCATACACGCGTATGGCAGGTATCACCTAAACATGTTCATGGCCTAAACATGGTTAGGGGGCACGGCGATACGCCGTGCAGAGTTTCGTCCCTTGACCGCAGCAGAAACCTCTGATTGTGGGTTCAAATTCCGGTTCGCCCCGATTATGTTTCTATGTCAGTCAGCACCATATCCGTGCTCGTGGGTTTCACCGAAGTGGTAAACGTCTGAGACCTGCATCACTTCGGGCTTTCCCCCAACATTAAAACTGACACGCCGCCTTATAACTGTAATATTGTTAAAAGCGACGTTAAATCCAACTCACTCACTCACTAAACATGGTCACAATATGAATTGTCCCAGACTGTTGAAAAAATAAATTAATGCAAAATATTTTACTTGAGCTCATATTTGTTTCAAATGGTCGGCCGCTAATGTCTTGTGCTTTGAGCTTAACTCTTGAGCTACATATTTAACCTATGGCTAGAAATAACCTTTTCAGGTAGTATGAGAATATCTATTTTGGAAACGTCCTCTTTAAACAGGAGACAAATTGCATTGACACCAATAAGATCCTATTTATTGTACAGATTCTACATGATTCCAATGTCAGATATTCAATACGATGCGATGGTCTTGGATGATGTCGGTTGCTTTGTATCATTACTATTTGATAGTGATTCATAAACACATGCTCGTGATGTAGTCGGAATCGTACACTTGTAGAAATGAAAATGTATGAAGGGTTGGTTAAATTTACTAAGCAGCGAGGTTTCGTTGAATAGTTTAAATACTGACCATAATGTGTCATGTCCTCATGCCTATAATGTTATCAGATAGTAGTGTGGAAATGTTGGTTAAAATGAACATCAGAGTTTAAAATTGGACGGAACAGGGCTGATTAAATGTTTTCCTTTGTGGAACAAGGAAAGGAAGAACAACCGCCAGTTTATGCAATCTGTGGGTTGTAACGTGTAACGGATGATCACAACATGAAGCAATGACGCTTACTCACCTTACTGAGATAATGATAATATAAAATAGCTCTCATACCTATTAATAGGTAAACTTTTAATGATGTTGTTGATAACACAATTGTTTATTTCATCGAATGTAACAGAAGAGTATTTATGAGTAGTACAATCACAAATGTGAATGTCACTTCCATCAATGAAATGAGCAACATATATCATTTGTCAAGCAAATATTTCATTGTGTTAATATTTTTCAAAAGCGCCTCCCCGATGTATTCTCTCATTTCACGATTCCTGTTACCTTATTTGTACTTATTTTCAGATATATTCTATGTTTCAAATGTTACATTATCGTTGATAATTGTGTATTGGTGCGTCCGTATCCTTTCTTTCCCTTCCACTTATTTACACACCTCAACTAGAAATAAACACCGATCTGCTTCATATTAGGATCTGTGCATAAAGATTCATAGTAATAAAAAACACTCTCATAAAACCGTATGAACAGATGGATGACTTCAAGTTTCCCATGGTCAACTTTGCCTTTATGTCGAGGAGTATTCCAGCAGCCCCTTTGGTGTCTACATTTCACAATTTTTCTACCGTGATTTCCAAGAGTGTCATCCGACTCATACGTTGTTTCATGAGGGTTGCAACATTGTTGATTTCGAAGTGAATTATTAGATTCCGGACCAATTGTCTCACCTTCATAATATCAAGTGCAGTTGTAAATTTCAAAATTTACACATGTATACAAAACAGATGTCTCTGTGTGTTATAAATTGTGCAATCGATTACCGAATTTTGGAATGTCATGCTTCAAAACGGGGAACGCTCATTGTACCTTTCGGGGGAACGTAACCTCGGATACTGGCGAGACGAGAGAACGCTTCTCTCCCTAGATATTCCCCGTCGAACCTTGCATGTAAGATAGCTCATGCTTTCATCCCCGGCGCATCTCAAGCAAGTATTGTTCAGTAACAAGAAACATGCAAACTATCAAAGTGACATGACACAGATGTGCAAGGTAATTAAACTAAAAATAAAACGTACTTCTTTGGAAGTCATAGTGGATAAAGGCGACACCTTGAAAACTGTCATTATAATTCACGGTTTCATGTACTTGTGGGAATATTTCTCTAAAACAACAGTCATGACGCATGGCATCACATATACCTGATTCATATTTGTTAAAGATAATTTATGCGGAAAGCATTGTGTTGGCTGTTGAGGGCAGGACATTCTTATCCTTTACATTTGGTGTCATCGCTGATTTTCATTGATCCATTCATATAATTCCCATTGATATATTGTCTCTAACGTCCATTGTAATCTGTTATTATCGGCGCATAATCGAGATTATTCTATGGCATTGACGTATCATATTTAAATCCATTTTTTAACGTCTTCTGCCTGAATGTATATACTGACCGATATTACGGACAACAATCATACGATTTTATGACGTTGTGTATGAAGCATTTAAATGTTCGGATTATTATTCCATGTAAGTCTTTGTGTAGAAAAAAATATTTGATGGTGTTTAAATAAAATTTACTTAAAACATAGAATATACATATTTGTACAGGTGATGTGAAAATTAAGGGAAGAACACCAAAAGTCAAATGAAGAGTGGATGGAATGTCTAATTTTACAATGAAATTATCTGTTACAGACTGACAAACAGACAGACAGACAGAAAGATATATTTCGTATGTGTGGCCATGAGGCCAGTAGTACAAGGACATTTTGTTGTAGGAGATTTGTCGTAGAGCACCACTTGTATATTGTATCTGAATAGATGTACACATTTGAGTTTTTTTGCATATTCAATGCATCATCCTTCTTTCAAGGGGCGGTCGGATAGCCTAGTGGTTAAAGCTGCTTTTACGTTTCCAAATATACGTCTTTCTAACTTCTTTCTAATGTATTTATGTGACAATGAAAATAAAGTAAATATGTGTTCAATCATGGAGTAATCTTCTCTAAACCCTTCTCGGCATTCTGACAATATCTGTTGGGTGGAGACCCAAAAGTGTAAGCGAGATTTGATAATTGATTTGAGTATTTTACTTATAATCTCTAACACGACAATGCCTCTGTAATTTTTTGCGTCACCCTTCGAGTCGGATTTATGTAAAAGGACAATTAGTCCAAGATTCCATGATTCCGGGAATAGAAGAATATGGTATAAAATAATATAATAACAGAGAGCAGGTTTCCTTCACAGCTTCTGTTGGGATCCCGTCATGTCCAGGTGATTTTCCAGTTTTCAAATACTGTATAGCATATGTTATTTCACGGTCTGATATTTCTCCACTTACCAGTTCATCGCAGTTTCTACAGTCATCACAGCCTGTGGTAGATCTGCGTAAATCTGCGACATCTTGAAAGATCTGATTTTTCTTGCGGATATAAAAGTTGTCTGAGGTAGGCATACCAATGACCAGCAACATTGCAATGTTGCAATATTTCTTAATTGTTTACCAAAATAATTTACAATTTCTACTTTTTGCAGTTTTTATATCTTCTTCAGAGACAGACATTTCATATCAATTTTATTTCCTTTACAAGTTTCTTTAAAAAAGCTTTATGGCGTTTAAATACTCACTGCAATGTTGAGTACCATTCGTAATTCTAAACCTGTGTGGAAGGACATATTTTGTACGTTTCAGTGTCTCGCATTCCATATCAAACCAATGTGGCTGGTGTTGGTGTAGTTTGTTTAAATGAGGTCGTCGTGCTTCAGGATGTCCCATAATGGATATCAAGCTATTTTTAAATAGTTATTTTAACTTCTCTGGAGCCGGGTCTAAATTTGTTTTATTAATTATCAAACAATGTTGAAAAATGTCAATGCAACTGTTTATAAAGTTCACAAACTCCCACGTGCTTGCTCCCACCGAAAGCGATCTGTGCAGTGAGATGCGTATGCAGCACAAGCGCCTGTGGGGTGTGCTCGTTCACGTGACAGATCCTGTGTTAAGGCTAAGTCGACTGTCAAGGGAAGATCAGATTCTGTTCTAGCTAAAAAAAATTTATTGCATTCATACATGTACATAGAAGAGGACACAATACAATAATCTACAACATTATTGCCTTGATGGCCAAGAAACGCAAAATCCCCCTCTACGTCTCATCCTGATCTACCATTCAGTACATGCATGGTCATGCTTACACACAGATCAAGCAACTGGTTACCTTGAGTAGTAATAAAATACTGTCTTTTGACTTTCTGGGAATGGCAATAGTTTAACTCATCAACTTAGAGATAATCGACGGAGTCATCTTCTGTTAAACCTTGTTCTGCTCCAATACGAGCATTTATATCACCAGAAAGAGTTATTAAAGTACCTGGATATTCATGACACAGAGTATACAGTTATATCTGTAAGAGTTTTATACCTGTGCAGTTTCGCATATTAGCTGCCGATGTCAGTCAGATATACAAATCCCAGTATAATGGGAAACCTGGGCAGTACTTTTTTAGGAAGAAAACTATCTGAAAATCACTGTGTAGTGGTGTGAACAGCAGGCTTCCTTGTCTCCCGGGGTGGTTATCACCACGTCGCCTGCTAGCTCTGGGGTCACGACCGCCTCTGGGGTCTAGTGGTAGAGCGTCCGGGGGTCCGGGGTTCGATCCCCATCTGCGTCATACCAAAAGACGTTAAAAGATGGTACTTGTTGTTACCCTGTCTGGCGATCGGCATTAAGGGACTAAAGGAAGGACTGGTCGGATCGGAGTCAGTATATTGTGTCTGAGTGGGGTATTCATGTTAAACTGCGGCATGGTATCTCAGTGAGTGAGCACTATAAATCGGCATGAGTCCGGACTAGTACCATCAACCACACAAACACACACACGTACAAGCGGGTCGCTATATAAGTGCAATAATCTTGGACGCGACGTTAAACCCAATTTCACATCACCTCACCTCACCCCTGGTTTCACTCATGTGAGTAGCTTCGTCGGGTGGGTGGGCTTTGTGTCCAGCTTTCTTTTCTATCGTTAATGCACAGTGCACAGCAACCTCGATACAACCAGGAAGTAGATCACTGGTATACACCCGTCGACAGAGAGCGAGGCGTCGCAGATCTGAAACACAGCCAATACCTGGAATACGTTTAACAAACACTTCACAACGTTTATCAAATGTTGTTAACTCGATGCAGTACCCAAATCAACAATGACAATTTGTGGATTTTACCTACTGACGCTCCTGGCTGTACTTGGATATCGGGTTGGTCACTCTATTCATATAGTGTTAACACCAAATGAAATAATTAAATATAAGAATATATACATGTATGTCCAATTATCGATTGCATCTTCTATTCATACTGTGAAGAATAGACACGAGCTCGTCTCCTGAGACTGATTGAAGTACCTGAGTTTGTTACAAAATGGTCTATTTGATTTCCCTGTCTGCTGGCACAGGTCCAGTAATAATATATCAATTCATTCTGCACTGTCGGTGATACTTCGGCATACACATGCAGCTGTTATGGCATAACTTTCGGGACCAGCTGTTCGAATCGACGCGTTGGTAGCAATGTCGAGCTATACACGACATCGTCTCTGCTCTCGGACGGGTTCTTCACTCCTGATCATGATACACCCATCTAGTCTTCACTCAATTCCAGTAAACACACCATGCATGCATTTCAAAATTCATTTAAAAATGAAAAATTCTGATATACTTGTATTTTACTTGAATTTGCCAAGGCCGTGAGTTTTTTGCAATAGCTTTGATCTTGTGGAAACATATTTAATTGAGAGAGTACTGTAGAAATTTAAGCATAACGTTTCAGTGAATCAATAATAAACAAAGTGTGAATTCACAACATTCATCACGTATACGTTCGACCGTAACGTGCTAAAAATGACAGTAGTCATCCTTGGACCAACTGGGCAGACATTAGAAATGCCCCATTTATATATCAACCTTTGCAACACAGTGTCTTGAATCTTTTGTAATCCGTTATTGATGTTGCTTGACGATAATTCTACCATTCCGACTTGAAGAAAGCTTGATTCTCATTTGTCAAAACAGAATTAAAATCGAAATTAGGAATGTCACAGAAGAAAAAAAACATGCGCATAAATACATCGATCTATACAAAGCTTACATATAGCAATTGTTGTCCATAACCACTGAGAACTGTGTACGTTCGATACCGAAACTTTATGGGATGATTTTGGCGACGCTTTCGACGGGCTTGAAACGGAAAAATAACACGCCTAGGCTTAAATTAAACTGAAAAAATGATTGATATCCCTTACTAGGCACGAATCTATATGGCCAACTTGCACCAACATTTCACCCTAACGGCTGTTGAAGGTTTCCCTACTTACAAGAGACAGTGGATCCCTTACATTGGTAATAATTTGGATACCACGTGAAACATTGGAAATGCTTATGACAGACTATAACTGCGATATTGGTTTGCTGTCAATAAGTGTTATTGACTCATTATTTTTAAGTGGAAATTAATAAATTGTGTCTTATGTTGAAGTGTTGCTCTCTCTCATTCCATGTGTGAGTATTGTTTCATTAAATTTGGGAAATTCATTTTTCCAGTCATGTTTTTGTACCTTATCGATTTTGAGGCCTCGGCTGAAATTTGGAAACAATGTTACTCAATTAAAGTAGGCACAATCTGATATGTAGTCCAGGGCTTGCAAACGTGCAGCCCCGGTACCCCTGGCGGGATTTATGATGAGACAACAACACTTAACGAAGGTTATATCATTTGTACACAAATGATCTGTTCGATAATGTTATAAATGAAACAAGCGATAAGATAAAAAGGAAACAAACATAACAAGAGTGTAAAAAAACATCATGATAATATGTTGTCAACAAGCCTTTGTCGCATTAGCACCATTTGAACGTCCATTCAACATGTTGCAGGACCAAGAGTTAGTGTAAATTAAGACAGCTTTGATCGTGTGATCTAATTACTGTCAGGCTTCGATATGGGGAATTAGCTATTTGGAGCTAGCCTTGAAATTATTACATTTTGATAGAGCATGTACGGTACAACCTACATGACACTTCAATGTTTGGATGTTGAGACTATTTGGGTAACTACGGTAAGGATTTATGATTACAGGAAAAAAAACATAAGTCGGGCATATACGGCAAACTGCGTGTCTAGATGAAGAACATGAATGTACTTCCGTGAAGACAGTAAACATTCATATGTTAATTTTAGTAATATCTTTCCTGACATAATAATTTCGGCAAATACGGTAGTAAAATAGCAGGGTGATTGTGCAGAGTAAAGATACGAAGGTACAAGGTAGAAGATACACCTCAGTTTTTAGCGAGAGAATAGTAAGTTCCATTAGTGAATATTTTGTGAATGTGATGTTGCTGTTGAAGACACGCGTTTCCTATACCTGCGGAGCTATATGACAATACATGATTGCGTGAATAAGGTACATGTAATTGCATACTAAGACGATATGTGTTTGAATACATTGTCGAGAAATTTCAAAGAAGACTTTAACTCTATGGAAATGACTACGGCAATGTAACACGAAGGCGATCCTGCTATTGACAACGTGCATTTCTCTATATTCTGAGCTATACGATAACATATAATTGCGTGATATAACTGAATGGAAATGACTACGGCAATGTAACACAAAGGCGATCCTTCTATTGACTACTTGCGTTTCTGTGCTAGACGATAACATATAATTGAGTGAAAATGGTAATTGTATACCTAAACGATGCGTGTTTGAAGGTACATTGTCGTGACATATAAAAGAAGGCTATGATTGTATTGAAATGACTACTGTAAAGAAACTGGCTCGTAGGCTGTGTTGTGCCGAATAGGTCTGAGTGAGGAACGAAACCTTTCACGATGTTTAAATAGTATACATGATGATATAAAAATACAGAATGCGTGGTTGTTATAGATTATATTGTGAGCGCGTACGGGAAGTAAATCTATTCATATACGATTTGATGGGCGGACTGATTGAAAAAATAAAATAACTGACCTACATATGAAATACATATTGCTTGAAGTAGTTGCGTTAACACCAGTAACCGTTTTGTCACAACGCTCAATGTACGTTACGGTACCGTTTGAAAATCTAGACTTTTCAGCAATTTTAAGATTTTATAATAGAGCTATTCACTAACTTTCTTTTTTATATACGGTGATGAAGTAATCGGAAAATTATTATCAACGGAATTTAAAGTACGATCTATCATGACATATTTTCCCGATAAAAGGTGCTTTCCGCTAGGTGACATGAGAAAATGCCGAGAAATACTTCCATTTTCAAAGCTTTGTATAAATAGTAGATGCGTAGATTCGTTCGATGTGTATATGTTTTTTAAAAGCCCCGATCTTCAATAATCTTGCCATAACCTCGCCATGAGTATTTTGTAACGTGCGATTTTCTTGGATAGAAATTAGTTTCTAATGACGCTTTTCTCGTAATCAAATGTAATATGCGCCCTCTAGCGGGCTGCCCAGTGCGAGATTGCAATCGGAGAGTACTAAGTTCGAACCCTGTTCATATAATGTCGGACTTTGCGTTGTGTTCTACTGTGATCAGTCATGAACAGTGTACTCTCTCGAGGTTCTATGGTTTGTCAGGTTCTCGACTTTGTCAAAACAAAACTAAGACAAAATCATAATTAGGTTAAAGTAGACCTCTTCTCCCTATACTCTCAACAGTCACACAAGTGTTCGGTCCGACTTGGCCCGGGCTGTTAAAAATCAACTTTAAACTCACATATGTATCATCAAATGGATTCACATCTATGAACTAGTATAATATCTACCTAAATACCACTTTATAGTGTCTCAGATCCCTGTACTTAAAGATAACAAGGGGCTCAAAGTGAAGCCCTTTCCCCTCTACATTCTCAACATAGTCTCTATCAGAAGTGTTTGGCTTGTGTTAGGTCCGACTTGGCACGGGCGGTCAAAATCAACTTTCAACACACATATGTATCTTCTAATGTGTTTACATCTATAGATTAATGTTATATCTACCTGTATACCACTTTATAATGTCACGGTACATCCTATTTAAAGAAAACAAGGTGCTCAAAGTGAAGCATTTTTACTGTATTTTCTTAAGAAAATCTCTGTCAGAAGTGTTCGGTCCGACTTGGCCCGGGCTGTAAAAGTCAACTTAAACCTCACAGATGTATCATTAAATGGATTGACATCTATAGATTAGTATGATTCTGAGAATGTGGAGGGAAAAGGGCTTCACTTTTGAGCACCGTGTTTGCTACTGCAATATGAGACACTAAAGTGTTATATAGGTAGATATAATTTTAGTCTATAGATGTAAAGTATACGTTGTAATTTTAGAAGCGCTTTGACAGTTATTAACACGTGTCGTGTCACTCCTATGACATTCGCGAATATCCACTTGCAGAAAACATCCTGTGTTGGTTTAACATGAATTAGTAAAGGTTAATTAGGGATGCGAAGCACGTTAATTAATGAAAAAAGAGTAGTCAAAACACTGTCATTTTGAATTCCTGCCCAGGACATCACACCCCTGCATGCTAAGGTCGGTGAGAAAAATTCTCATCAAAGTAAAGACACAGTCAAGACACTGACTTTTCGGTATGGACTCTCGGTATGTAGCTATAATTATCAGTTTATTACATGCTGAAGATGCATTTTGATTCAAACTCAATTAAATGAGCAAAACTATACGTTTCTGGACAATTGAGATCTGCCTAGATATGCATGTTTCGTTTTATTATTCTGCAATCCATTTTTAGTATTACCCGCTGGCCCGGCCCGGCCCGACTTTTCTTGGCCCGACTTTTAGGCAATCCCATCATAAGATATATTCTGTTATAGGTATAGCAACCAACTCGTGTACAAAATAAAACGCATGTTCAAACAACAAAGATAAATAATATTGTATATATAATACTGGTTGAAGACAGAAAAATTAGTTTAGTACATCCACATTGAAACATTATATTTCACCATAAAGGTGAGCTTTTCGTCTTCCGAGGAGAATCAGCGAGAAACGAATATGAACATCGATAAAGAAATAAAGTCAAAATTTCAAATTAGAAATATTGTACCACCCTTGATGCAGTTTCAGTTTTCATTTAGAGTTGCTTAAGATGTGTATTCACCAGTTTAGTATCATGTTCATGTGCTTAGTTCAAATATATTATATATTCTCATAACAATGACTATTAACAAAACATTTCATTGTCAGCCATTCCTTTTTTGAATGTATTGTATCTTTGATTAAAGACTAAAGATAACTCTTTCTAAATATATTATAGACGCATATATATTATATGAGATCCTACATCACAAACTGCACATGTTCACACCAGGAGCTTGATTTCCATCACGACTTTGTCAAACTCCTAGAATGATGTGGTATTTTCCCTTCACTTTCAGATGAGCAATGTTGCCAGTACAACAACGTCACCTTGTGAGTATTGGTCTTGTTAAACTAGTCTGCGTTATTTTCTACTAATAGTGTAATGCAACAAAGGTGGCCTTTATTTGAATTTTAAAAATTTAACAGTGAGTATTGATATCAATTATTTTTTTATATACCCTTAACAGACTGCTACGTTTGTAATCAGTCTCACACTCTCTGTGTCAATTATGTACGTAGGTATATAATTCATAAGTACGTACTAATATTCATACATATATTGTTAATAAACTGGTGTAGGTACTTTGCACACCTGCTGTTGAACTTTATCTGAACATCCCATTGAACCATCTGATGAAACCATAGTGTGGGCTTGTGTCTACAGTGAATCTGCAAAGCGTTAAATCTGATTCAAGGTGGCATCCGTTTACGACTGTTCTATTAACTATTCGTATTAATGTGTGTCCACGGTGTAAATGTCCTAGAACAGATATAAGCAACGTTCATGTATATGCAATAATTCTGACAAATGTTACAAGGCAGATGTAGGCTGTTGGTTATCATTAGTCTTGTTTGAAAGGGTAACACAACAATGTTGTATTTGAAATGTTGTTCATACAGTAACTTATGAGTAATAAAACGAGGATAAGGTTAATGCATCATTCAGGAAGATTTCGCTTCAGATAGGATGCCAGGCACCATAGTCACTAATATTTCAATGAGTTTTAGTGAAATTAAAACAAGAATAGGTTCAGCATAACCATGGTTCGTGTCATTCCAGAGACAATCAAACATATTTTGTACAGGTTTTGTCAGATCCAAAACATTATGCAGATTGTATTGTATATGCGTGCTCAATTTCAGATGTACCATATGGATCTAACTGTGCTGAAACAACTCAGTGTTTAACCAGTGATGCAGTTTGCAATGCATCCAACATATGTGCATGTGATGACACTCACTACTACGACATGGACAGCGACACCTGCACTGAGAGTAATGTGTATTTTCCTGTGTAGCCTCTAAGTAGACTTGATCACATAGTAGATTAGTAACGACGTAGACACGTTGCTTCATAACGTTAGCATATGTGATGTCTCTTTTGGAATAGAATTAAATCGATAACTGGTTTCTCATAGCTGCATTTGTACCTCTCACGAAATTGTTTGGTTCCTACCTTCTTGCATGTGATGTGGTCGCCTTCGATAATATTGGCAAATAGAATTTATTTTCTAAAATAGTTATTAATGAAATAATTTTACGCGGGTAATACCTGGTACTTTATCCACTGTCCAACACTATATCTTTTTTTTAAAAAGGTGTCATTGTAAGGAATCAGCCTCTTTGTTTTTATTGTGTCGTCAACGTTGACATCCTTAATATGTCCATGTCATTGCCCGAGTGAGTTAACTTAGTAGTTTTTCATTTTCTGATTCCTGAATACCCTTTAATTGAAGTGTCCATTTAAATCTTACATGTTAGTTACTTTTCGTGTTATTCCTACGATTTCAATTTATTTCAATTCAATATCAACCTCAATTACTCAACATGATATTCGTTTGCTGATGGTTATTGCTCCTATATCATTAGAATTCTTTTCATTTCGATAACATTTTGTCATCTGACGCTTTTTCTGGCTTTTTGTGAGAGTCTGACACGAACAATTACACTTGCGCTTATTGAAACATGTGTTTCAGACTTGTACAATGTTTAGCATAGAAGTAGATTGGGTTACAACTGCAATATAGTTCCTGTTAATTGCTTGTCTTTCTTATCTTGTTCACCAAACACTTGCACAAAGAGTGATACTTATAAGTGGAGGCATTATACAGTTACAACGATGTAGAAAACATTTCTCAACTTGGAGCGACAGGATCCATACACGAGAGTAATTGCTACTTAATCATCTGACATCAGCCTTGAAAGAAATCTTCCTCTTTGAGTGTGGTGTGGTCGACTTTGATGAGGGTAGAAGGGTAGTACACTAGTCAACTGTCAGAAACTGTCGTTGTGTGGAATCTTCGTCTATACGTCTATTCGTCCCCTACGATATAATAATTGCTCTTCAAAAATATCTGCAACTCAAGCTATTGTGAGTTTCCATATAATGAATGTGCATATAAAGTAAGTGCAAGTCATTAAGAATATGCATCACATGTTGGACTTATAACAATCATCATTTGTAAATTAATGAATACATACAGTGAAACCTTGATTGCCAGTACTATCCGAATATAATGAAATATAACAGATATGATAAGGAAACAAAACTTGGGTACCACTAATTCGTTGGCCTGAAATGTTGTTAATCAAGACGAATTCACTGGGAACAATAGTCAAGTGGATAAAATAGTGGTTCTGCACCAGAAATAAGGAAGGGTCCGGAGGAGGAGATAGGATAGCACTATCTAAGTTACCCATTGACCATGTTTCGTTTATCGTAACACTGTCTGAGGTATATTTATATATTTCTATGTCGTAATAAAAAATCTTTATCAGATATAATACTTGGCGAAAGTCAGGAATACTATTTCTTCAACGGCCAGTGTTTATATATGTTTTCAAAATAATCCAAAGGTGGTTTTCGGGAATGCCTATTAACGAAGTTTCACTGTGACTCCCCGAATATCAAATAATCGATTCCTTTAAAATTGGATTTGACCAAAAAATCACAAACGTTATAAAAAGTCGCGTTTTACGTTTATAATTATTCAGATTGCATTGTATATTTGAATTTGGAGTTATTTGTATTAATTTTCGTAGATTGTATTGCAAATCTCGAGTTTAACCCTTTTCAGACACAATATCGCGTTTTATACTCGCACATGAATCAAATACGCCGAAGAATATTTAAAAACAAACGAACATATTCATAATATTGGACATATATTTACTCATTATTGTGTGGTGGATTGTCGTCATTTCACCTCCGAATTATACAATGAAAGATGCTAAAATAATCCTTTTGCACGGAATTATCAGGATAATCGTATAAATTGTCACGTTGTTGATATAATTCTTTCTATTCTTTTGCAAATAAAGTCAACAGTTAAATATCCCGTAATGACAATTTTTAAAAAGTTGAAACAATAAATTATGTCATCCACAAGCGAAAGGAGTAATTCCTTAATCTTTTGTGACATACGCGCACTTGATGAATTCTGGGGCATCAGTCTACTGTCAATCAGAGAAACTATTTCTAAAAAATCCTTCTTCATATGTGTGGATATGTATTTTATACTACTATTATCTATTTGATAAAAGTGATATGTTCAGTTTTACATATAAAATAAAATGAAATGGATGTTAATTAACAATATTGAATATTACACTTAGAAGTAAATATTTTGCAGTTACATTTACGTTTCATCTTTTGCATTGTACATATGTATATATTGTATTTATTTTTCATGTAAGGATTCAGAGGTGGATTACGGAGCTAACTGTACTGACAATACAGACTGTATTACCAGCAATGCAATTTGTAATGGATCCGGCATATGTGCATGTAATGACACTCACTTCTACGACACAGGCAGCAACACATGCACTGAGAGTAATGTGGATTTCAGACCTAACTGCTTAGCCCCTGAGTAGATTTGATTACAACTTTGATCTAATTCCCGTTCTTTGTCTTCTGCTTATCATCCTGCTTACCACCAAGCTTACACGAAATGTAATTCATCTATCATGTGTAGCGTCATGCACGTTATCTTTCTTAACATATCACACGGTAAAGAAATAGAAATGTTCCACCATTAGATTTGTCTTTATTATGGTTTACTAAAAATCATTTGAAATGGGCAATAACTAGTCTTTGGTCAAAGTGAAAAGATGACGCGTTTGAGGAAATGCTGGCTCTTCATCCGCAATAAAATTTAACAACCCGATCCAAGCTTCCCTAAATGATAGGCTTGTTTGGTAAATTGCATTCATTACAAAAGGATCTGGTACTACTAGGAACGTAGAAACAGGGACACTATCTAATCGCTGTAGGTATCTATTGGTGAACATGCAAAATATGGCCTCTACATCTAACCTTTTCATAATCACTTTCCTTCATGGAAGCACCATTTTGGAATGAGGCTCACACAAGTAAAGCAAACCAGAATTGGCAAGATTAATTTTGATAACTAATTTGCTTGTAATTGCACAGAACAATTATATGAACAGATAAGCACTTCTATCGCATCCTGTTGTAGTACTTCGAACTCAAAATATAAGTGGACAGAACGAACGATAAATCACTGTCACTGGTGAAATTTTGTCAACGAATATCAACAAAGACATGTCATAATAAGATTTGTTCGTTTTCGCAAACATTCATTTCCGTGAACATGTTTGTTTTCAGCTACCCAACTAAAGCCAGTCATCACAGACCAACCATCCATAGGAACAGGCACTATTGGCATCAGCTGGACAAATACAGATGTCACTGGAGGATACACATCCAGCAGCTATATGGTAGTGTGGTCTCCGGGATCTCCAGGATCTGCCTCTACACAAGAGAAGAACTACACCATCCGGTCCCTGTCTCCAGGAACAGAGTATACAGTCAATGTTACATACACAATCACACTGAACGACAGGAGTCAGACGATTACATCGGACACAAAAACATTTACAACAGGTAGCTAAGTTTTAATATTTTCAATTTCTGTTGTTTGTCATTTATTGACATTAGATCCAAGTTTTTCACAACGATACATAAATACAAAATGTTTTTCTCCTCCTTAAAACCGACATTGTCTGGTTTGTTTTCAGACCGCCGTCGCATGGCAGGAGTCTTGATATGCGGCATCAGGCTATACATACTACTTATTTAATGTACATTGTGTAAATGGCGGATACTACTGGTAGAGCAGGAAAATGCTTACTCTTTTCGCGAACACCTGGTGTCAACACTGATTTTCCGTAGTCCGTTCATAAACTGTTCACAGCTGTTTTGGCTCTGACTCCAAATGGAATCTGTTGATCGGCGGATAATCTAGACTGTTTATTCTGTTACATTGGCAATATATATAATTTAACCCACTGCATCTAAACCAAGTAGATATTCCTGTTGCCTCTAGCCTTTGAAATCTGAATAAAGGACACATATACGCATATATTTTTTCAAACCCAGTTTGATGGCGGGTATAAGCAAAATTGTATTTTTCAACTATTATCTACTCATGTAGTACTTCTGCCAACCTGACCGAGTGCAATAACTAAGTAACTATGATGGTCGCTACACCAATGTCAGTCGTTGACTCTCAGCCAGTGAATAAGGCTATTTGATTGATATTTCAGTCACAGCCTTTCTTCAAAGACCTACCACCACTACAATGGTAACATCATAAACAAAGATCATTGACACACGTGTACTAATTTATACGTTTTTTCAACAGTTCTTGTGAATGAAGAGGCCCACATTCAGCTGTTATATATTAAAAATACACTGCTTTTTCACATGCTGCTATATTGACATCACGCATTATTTTCAGAGCAAATCTTTGGCGGAGTATGTAGTGACATGACCCAGTGCGACAACTCAGACTCGAACATAGGCTGTATGCAGATTACAGGGCAAACAGACAAGAGATGCCTTTGTCAAGATGGGATGTATAAGCCATCACCACCATCATCACCTTGTACGGACAGTAAGTACATGTATCTTATTTGAGGTATAAGTATATAAGTCCCTGTTTATACCTCATCTTCGCTCTGAACATGGTGGGATTGTCCGTCATTAGTTTGTCTGACATATATTGCTTTGAAACATATCAGTGCCAGATGAGCTTGGTGCTTCTTCTATAAGCCCAGCAACGCATCAGCGTTGATAGGTGTCATGTCAACGTTTGAGCCGAAGAGCGTTAGGTAAAGCTTGTCTTCTCGCCAAACAGGTGAATTGTAGTTCCTGGCACTTCATAGGGGGCACGGGTGGCCCAGTCGTCAAAGGTGCCGCGATTCGCTGTGCAGAGTTGTGTCCCTTGGGCACGCCAGAAACCTATGATTGTGGGTAAGCATCCCGGTTCGCCCCGATTATGTTTCTAGGTTTGTCAGCGCCATACCCGTGCTCGTTGGTTTTACCGAAGTGGTAAACGTCTGAGACCTGCATCACTTCGGGCTTTCCTCCCACATTAAGCTGACACGCTGCGATATAACTGGAATACTTTTAATAGCTGCGTTAAACCCCACTCACTCACTCTCTTCTGGCACTTCATGATAGTATTTAACTGACTTTAACAAAACATCCATTATAACAAATAATTATTATATATTGTTTCAGTTCACGTTAAATCATTACAGGTTTAGTCTTTTGTCTTTAAAAACTTGTTTGCGTATGTGAATATTTAATGTTCATTTATTTACTTAACAAAACAAACTTGATTAAAACATAACGTTTACAATTATTGTTAACGTCCGTACAAGGATGTAACGGAAAGTAACATGTTCGTATGGAAACATGTAACAACAATAAAAGAGTGAGTAAATAAAAAAATAAAAAAATAAAATTCCTCTAGTCGGTTGTGACACTCCCCTATATATATGATTTTATTTTAATTTAACAGTGTAGCCTATGAAAGTCATTAAAATGATTGGTCACATGGTATCGTGACATAGTTGGCATTCACTCATCTTCAGACAATCGATATTTTCTCTATTGATTTTAATTGTACTGACAATACAAGAGATTGATGGGATTATTTACAAAGTTTATACACGTAATCTGTTTTATTTAAATAGAAGGGGTCCGTTTAAAGTGATCATAGCAACAAATTGGAGAGTATTAGAGTGAAGTTATTTTAGCATAAAAAATGCCAAAGGTTTACCTTTATATTGGCAGCATCAGGTCATTTTCTCCACTCGCTGGACGCCTGTTAGTGGAGAATGAATGGTGTTATGTCCAAAAAATGATTTTTTTCCGCATATTATGTAAATTCCGTTGTCTGAGCCATAAGTTGGGTATCCAACAGTTTTGTTACAATGACCAAATCGGTACTGATTTACTTAAAGCCCCATCTGCGGTAGGAACTACCGCACTCTAGTGGGCGGAGCTTATACGAGTGATCTGACAGGTCAATATGACGTCATGATAACACACACATTTCATTGGTTATTGCGTAAACGGGTGACGTCATGTAAACACCCACCCACGTGGGCCGTTTGACAACAAGGACATACGTTTTAATGGTAATAAATATCTATCAAACGATTCCATAACTTTTCAACAAACGCGTAGGTCTTTGGTTTCAAAACCTACCTGCCATGTCGTCTTCACATCTTCATAAAATGATACCGCGGAATGTCCATGATATATCCAACGCAGTCCAACACAAAAATTATAGACGTTCTTGTTCTGAGCTATTCTAGATCTCCCGACGACAACGAATTAATACGTTTGTCGTGATGAATATGAACAGTGTAATTGAACAAAAAAACAAACATAATATGTGTCACGGCACCAATCGTTATCCTGTGGTGTACGGTATATCTGCAGTTTATAAATAGCATTTCTCACATATACACGGTAATCGGTGATTTCAACAGTGTTTTTCTTCGTTGTGTTCGTCTTGCCTTCATCTGGAATCTGGATGACAACGATCGTGTAAAAAACCCTGGTAATGGTCAAAAATATTTTCACGTGATCAAAGTAGTTTTTTGTCGTTTCCGTGACATTTTTTTATTGCCCAGTATGTATTTTGGCAAAGTCACACTTGTCCGATGAAGCTCTTCGTGCCGAAGTAACTCGATCCGTGAAACTTGGCGGGTCCCAGTGACCCAGATCCCTGTTGATTGGCATGCCAAGTGTCATTTGCATTGGGCCATCCATATTTTTTGTATGTGTTTCTCCCCTCAAGCCTAAACTAACCAGAGAGCGGCCAGACGAGATAAAATATATATTACTTATCAAAAAATGTCTTTCAATAATTGTGTAAGTTATTTTATGACATTTAAAAAAAAAGTTTAAACACTTGGTACTAGAATCTAGTCTATGCATTTGTTTATTATGTAGATCGATTCGCTTTGCTTCGGAAGCGAATTTTTAATAAACAACGGAACAAAGATAAAGTTGATCTGGTTCTGTTATAAAGTTGAGCTGGTAGTATTTCTTTTAATAGATCGGTGCGCAATTTTCCACAGCGGCAGCAAAATTAAGACACGAAAACATTATATTATTTCACGTCGCAATGGAAATAAGAATATTAAAATACGGACAGCCTCACAGACTTCGAAACGATGATCAAATAAATATTTGTTCACATTAATTCTGTCATGTGCGAGAAAATGGATTTCAACATTATTTTCATCAAGCTTATTCAGGTCGCTGGCTGCACAGATCATCCTCTCTTGTAAACTACTTCGGCATGAACACATGTTTTGTCGCGAAGCTCAAAGCAACAATGTTTCTCTCAGATACATTTTTTTCTCCATCCATGACGAGCATCTGTCATAATGTGCCTCAACAACCTTCCTGGTCAGTTGAATTCAACAATGTTATACACACGGCCTCATTCACGGCTTCGTCACACGATTCCTTCCAAATACCCACCACTTGATCAGGGTTACGACCTTGGGATGAATTAATAAATTAATTTGCACTTTTAGAAAAGATTTTTTTTCGTGAATATTATTATTCAAAAATATCCTGTACATGGTACTTTGGGATTGCACTGCGGATTTCTTTTATTACTTTATAAAACTTTTTGTTTTCCCCTTTCTGACCTCGCGATCTCCTAGCAACCACGCCCCATGAGTGCATCGAGTTGCTGCTTACAAATGACAAGAACTTTGCAATTTCGCTTGTCTTCAATATGAGCAACAAAACACTTTCATGTAAATCCTAATTTGACGAAGAGTTGTTCGAGATAATCAGGAAGCCTTTGGTCATTTCGATTGTGACATTGGTGACTTTATCGTGGAGAAAGTTCCAATATTCAAGATGACTTCATTCCGATTCACAACTCGAATCGACAAGATGGCGCCTCTCTTCCCGCCCTTGCAAGTGCAACAGAAACTTTGACAAATTCAGCGCCGATTCTTGGGAGTAGTGAATCAGTGTCACAGCGAGATTTAATTGTGGAAGCAGATGAAGCCGAATATGTATGTTCACACTTCTTTTGTCAACCATGCGTGACACGGCACAGACAATCGCAGTTAGGGAATGGTGCGGCCACCATGTTGCAGAAATTCGTCGATTCGAACACAGTGTTTCTGGACTGAGCTAAATAAACGAAGTGTTTGGAGAGATCGTAGATACTTGGACTTGAAGAAACGGAATTATACGTTGCAGCAAATGAAGGATTGGTGTGGACAAAACGGGAAAGGGATCCCAGATTGTATTTTAAAACTTGTGCGCGAAGTGTATCAAAATACCCCGAACAAAAAATACATGGGACAAGTGTGGATCTAATGATCCAACTCAGTTTTGTGTGTGAAAATTCTGTGAAAGAAAAGGAAATTCATAATTAAAGTTGTCTTGGAATATGTGTATTGGAGTTTTCGTTTATCGTAAGTACAATATTATCCGGATACGCCTTCTGTAGGCCAAAACATCAAGTATATTCAGTTACTTATTTACCAGTTGCTTATGTGCATTGTTATGTTGATACACGTAACATATTCATCTATTGTAGTCAAGCTGCGAAATATTGGCGTAACTTCTGGTGCTTCAAATTAGGCCCCTTCCTAAACACTAGTTGAAAAATCTCTGTAATAATTTACGTTTTATGAATATAAACTGATTATTGTGTGGCACAAATCTAACTGTTGAATGCAAATGACCAAAACTAAACAAATATCTGTAATTTTCGGATTGAACTGAAAGAATCGCGTCGTCAATTTCGTATTTAAGTATCGTTACTGTTACATTAACTGAAACTGATGTTCTGCTGCTGTTCTGCCGTAAAAATATACAACACAATACACTTTGACCACAAATGCATTACATGTGCCACATGTACACATGACCATGTGCTTTGCTATTTATAGCGCAAACGTAAATAAGCTCCGCCCACTGTGATCGATGCAGACGCCAAACACGATCGATTCGATTTTTTAGGATAAAACTACAGACTAATTATTGACTTATATCTTGATATGGAGCCATTTGTTGTATCCATGGTTTGTCATTCAAGTTGATACGAAGTTTGACGGTCAATGGTGATCTTGTTCCCGTATGGTTTTCAAAAAACGTCTCCCGACACTCGGTTGTGTTTACATTGTCAGTCATTGTTCGAAACTGAAACACCGCCACCTTGCGGGCTATTTATAGCCAGGCTGGGGCTTTAAGTATGTAATCATTACATAATTGACGATGAATAAAATTTCCTTTTAGTTTGTCCGTTTATTTGAAAAACTAAAAGAATCAATCAACTATTAGCAACAAAAGCTCTTAAGCTCATAAAAAATGTTGCTATATTTAAAAAAATAAAATCTGCCTGTATAATGTATCATAAATATTGTATTGAGAGAGTATAACATTTGTTCTACCAGTCCATGTGCAAAAGTATGTACATTGCATTGTGTTAATCTTACCTGTACATGTAATCTTGTCTGTAAAACAAACATTCAACATATACATTTTACGAGATTTTCTCCAAGTGTCAGTTCACTTGCATATGCTATCATGACGGGCAATAGTAAGAGGAATGCTATC